TGGGGGGAAGAGGGTAAAGGGTACATGAAACCTTTCTCTACCATCTTTGCAACTTCCTATTATTCCAGTAATTGTTTCAAAATATGAAGCTTTTTAAAGCGTTTCTTAGACTTGGAAGCAGACCCTTATTACTTTCGCAAATTGTGCTTATGAAGATCATTCCTTTCCCCTTAGTTATTGATCAAATATATATAACTGTCTTATTTCACAACTTTCACAGAAATACAATTTCCAGAAGGATCAAAGATATAGATAAAAAATGAAACCATACAAATAACAGAGGAATATATAGAAGGTTGTTTATTATTTTGGGGTATAGGTAAGTGTTCTAATCTATGATAAAAAGGGCAAGAAATTTAAAAGAAATATTTGACAGTAGTGACAATGCTGATATTTAAAACTACAGTAAAACGCAAAAGACAAAGGAAGCAATTCTACAAATGAAATTAAAAGAAAAATGATAAAACTGGAAAATATTTTCAGAATATATGGTGATCTAAAAGTGTAACAAGTAAAGGGCGTGAGCGAGGAATGCCCTGAATTACACACAAAACAAAAACCCCTAATAACTGCAATGAGAGAGTCCACGAGTGACCAAATAGAGGCAAATTAAAATAATTAAAGAAAATTGTTCACACTAGAGATTAACAGGATAAGACTGACACAACCCAGGATAAAGAGGGTAAAGGCGGATATGAGGACACAGCCAACGTCGGAAAAATAACAGATAGACACAGTCTACCGGGTAGCTTGACAACATGCGTATGTGTCAAAACGTAAAAGATGCCCTATTTTTTTTTTTTTTTTTTTTGTTGCGGTACGCGGGCCTCTCACTGTTGTGGCCTCTCCCGTTGCGGAGCACAGGCTCCGGACGCGCAGGCTCAGCGGCCATGGCTCACGGGCCCAGCCACTCCGCGGCACGTGGGATCTTCCCAGACCGGGGCACAAACCCATGTCTCCTGCATCGGCAGGCGGACTCTCAACCACTGCGCCACCAGGGAAGCCCAAGATGCCCTATTTTTTGTTTGTTTGTTTTGTTCAAATAGTTTTATTGTTATTTTATCAACTAAAGTTGTCATATGATTTATTCAGATAAAACTCACATAACATAAAATTAACCATTTTAGAGTGAACAATCCAGGGACATTTAGAACATTCATAATGTTGTGCAACCACCACCTTTATCTAGTTCCAAAACTTTTCTATCATTCAAAATAAAACCTGTACCCATTAAGCAGTTTGTCCCCATTCTCCCCTCTCTTCCAGCCCCTGGTAACCACCAACAGTCTTCTGTCTCTATGGATTTATCTCTTCTGAATATTACATATACATGGACTCATAAAATATGTAACCTAAAAGATGTCCTATTAACCCGAGAATTACATTACTAGGTATTTACCTAAGATAATAAAGACACAAGTGCAAATATAGTAATAATAAAATAAAACTGCATGCTCGATTGTACACCCCAGTAGTTTTTTGTTTGTTTGTTTGTTTTTAATCAGGGAGAAAAATTTAAAACAATATTCAGTGTCAATCAACTGGAGACCAATGAAGGAAAACTTATGGCCCATGCACACAATGAAATGCTGCGTGGCCTTTAAAAATGACAAAAATCTACATTTACTGACTGTTTTCAGTCAGAAAGCAGAGCATCGCAATCAAAAGCACAGACCCTGCAGCCAGAATATGTGCATTCAGAGTCCAGCTCCACCCCTTACGGGCTGTGTGATGTTAGCAAACTCCTGAACTTCTCTGTGCCTCAGTTTCCTGGTCTATAAAATGGGAATGATAATAGTGCCTATGATGTTGCCATGATAATGAAATGAGCTATCGATAATAGTTGTAAAATACTGAGAACAGTATCTGCAACATAGAATGTGCTACAAAACAGCTTGTTAAAGAAAAAATACTGACATGAAAAATTTACCTGCTCCATTACTGAGTGAAAAAAGATCACAGAACATTATATATGACCTCATTTCTGAAAAATGTATATGAACATACATAGAAGTGAGAAAGACCTTTCTTCACTTTTTTTACACAGTGTAATAGACCTTATACCTAGGCAGTGAAAGTTTGGATTATTTTTACTTTCTTCTTAGTATTTTTTATATCATTCCAGGTATTAAAAAAGAAAACAAATAACAATGATAATATCCAATTGGTACTCTTGGATACTTTTGGAATCTAAATTGGTGTGAGCTTTCTAGGGGGCAATTTGGCTATATGTAATACACTTTCTGGCCCCGTAGTTCTACTTTTAGGAATTTATCCTACAAAAATAACAAATAATAATCCACACATACACATATATACACATACACAAACGCATACATATACATAAGGGAATGTTTATTAGAGCAATATTTATAACAGCAAAAAATATGGAAATAACCTAAATTTCACTAAATGTACCGTGGTTGGCGTGAACAACGGAATACTATATGGCGTGGAAAAGTGACGCCGCAGAGCTCCATGAAAGATCCTTTCAGTGAGGGCCATGAATACCCAGGTGAAGAGTCTGCACTTTCCTGTGAAGGGGAGGCACTGCAGAAGTGTGTTTTGGGAAGAAACCACCAAGGGCAGCACAGCCTGGGGGAACATCCACAGACCGGGCTGAACTTCTCACACGCCCTCCAAGTTAGATCTAGGCCTAAGGCCCGGAGGAATCAACAGCCAGAATGTTCAGTGCTGCTGAAGAGGATATCCCTGATTTCTAACCACAACTGTGCAGAAAGCCCAGGAGTCTCTCAGAGGGGGACTGACAGGACAAGCCAGCCGTGTGAAGGCACAACACCAAAACAGACTCTCAACGAGACAGCCCTGAATGAGCAGAGAGACTTGGGTTCTCACAAGGACTCGGGCCAGTACACGCAGAGCTGCCCTGATGGCTAGATCTGGCCCCTCTGGTTAAAACGAGACAACTATTGAGTATTTGTGCAAGAAAAAGAGAGCGGGGGCCGGGGCAGGGTGCGTGTGTGGGCGCGTGCGACACACTCAGAGGGCAGGGGACGTGGGTGGAGAGAGGAGGGGAGCAACTGCATGAGCAGGGCCGGAGGGAACGAATCCCCTGGAGATGAGCGCCTCAGGTGCAGGGCCGTGGCCTCCTAACCCTTCCGCCATCGGCCACCTTATTGCTAGAACTGTGTATTTGCCGAAAGGACATTAGGCTCTGAAGCAAGATGCTGCTTCCTCCGAAACCACCGTGCTCCTGCCCCGTCTCTCACACGGTGAGTACTCACGCTCTACCTTGGGACGGCGGCCAGCCCGCTGCCTTACCTTGTTTGAATCCGTGTCCAGTATTTGCATCAGCCCCTGCAGCCTAGTAAGAGCTCACGTGGTCACCTTAAGAGCAGTTTAAAGGAAAGAACAACATTTTGTGTTTTCTACAACTTGAAACAGGTGTTGGCAATGAGCCTTGGCCACCTACCTAGATGTTTGATAAATATGAGGTGATGTCTTATCTCAATAATTCACCCAATCTGTGCTAGGATTTTACACACCAAGGGTCTTGCTCCACTGTTGGGAGGTGTTTCTAGGACTTAAGAATTGGGGTTCAGAGTCAGACAGTCTGGGTTCAAAGGCCAAGATCCCTTTCTAGCTAAAGAACCCCGGACAAATTGCTTAATGTCTCAGTGTCTGAATGCTCTTATCTATAAAACAGGAAGGCCAGCAATAGCACTGAGTCCATATGGCTATGAGTAACAGTAACAGCTAACATTTATGGGGTGTCTCTCTTTTAACTTTTTATTTTATATTGGAGTACAGCCGATTAACAACGTTGTAACAGTTTCATGTTCACAGCAAAGTGACTCAACCATACATACACATGTATCCTTTCTCGCCCGAACTCCCCTCCCATCCAGGCTGCCACGTAACATTGAGCAAGAGTTCCCTGTGCTACACAGTAGGTCCTTGCTGGTTACCCATTTTAAGTATAGCAGTGTGCACATGTCAGTCTTATGGGGTGCTTTTGAAACGGCAAGTACCGTTCTAAGCACTGTACGAAGTCCTGTCTCATTGAATCCTCAGAGTAATCATATTAGCTAGTGCTGTTTTTATTCCCATTTCACAGATGAGGAAAATAAAGCAGAATGAAGTTAGTAAGTACGAGAGCTAGGATTCAAACCCAGGCAGCCATAGTCCAAAGCCCAAATCCATAACCAGAACTGCATGCTTAGTGTGGTACAAAACACAGTAAGAACTTCCTAAATTCTCAGACGTGGCACCATTCAAAAACGGTGCAAGAATCAAACAACAACAACAGCACGACAGCAGAGGGCCTCAGCTCTCTGGTGCAATCTTGCCGTTTCGGTCCTCCTAGAAAGCCGTCTAGGAGATGTTCCCTGCTCACACTCACATGTCCTTCGGCCTCTTTTAGAAGTTACTTCAGAGCTGAAGCCTTGCTAAGTACTTACCTGGAGGAAGCACCTGGTATTCTTTACTTTCTTCAAGAATACCTGCCACAATCTAGGCCATCAAGATCACTCATTGGGGCCTCGAGCATCCCAGTGTCTGCTCGTCTGTTCACATGGTCCCACTCATCCACTGAGACACCCTCCCTCCTTTACTCCAAATGCCACCCAAACTGCGACACCAGGCTCAGTCCGGAATTCCCATCAGAACACTTTCTCAACTCCTGATTTATTATCCTGTAACACTTTGCATTTTAAAAGCCCATTGTCTTACCCCGAACATAAGCTCGAGAGCACAGAGACTTTCTGACTCTCTCTGCAACCCCCCGCAAGCGTCTACTCAAGTACCCACCGTGACCTGCGCTCTGGGGGCATCAGCTACCAGATGATACACTCGATTCCAAGATGATGTACAGTAACAGTCAGTAATCATTGCAAAAATGAGCACTTTCCAGATAGGTGGGACATGTATAAATATGTGCGATTTCCAAGTAACAAGTGAACCCGTAAACACGGATGTGAGTAGTTACATCCGTGTGAGTTATCAGAAGGCGACGCGGTCGGCCCTTGGGCAGCACTCACCGGCCTCTCCCTCCTCCTCGCCCAGGTCCAGCACGATGATGCAGATATGCTTCCGCAGCTGGCGTGGGTTGGAGAACTTCCGGCAGCACTTGCTGCACTCCAGGCTGCTGGGAGTCAGGCTGCCCCCTCCCTCGGGGGCCCGCGGGCTGTCCCCGCTGGGAATAACGTTGTTTTCCGTCAGTTCCTCTTCGGGGCTGGCCTTCTTCGTGGACCCCTTTGGCCTGCCTCTCTTCCTCTTCATGACCGAAAACTCTATGAAGGAAGCAAGAGGGCACCATGTAGTCACAGGAGGCGACAGTGCAGGGCATGCACTCAATTTCCAAGTGTGGAAATATGTTTGGTTCCACGTTTTATTAAAAGAGGAAAGTCTGAAGCAGTTCCAGAAATGAACAGCTGCAAACAATCTTTAGTGCTAATATCTCTGCACCTCTATGCTACTGTATAATCAATTCTGTAATAATGTGACTTAAGAATATCACTTTAGGGCTTCCCTGGTGGCGCAGTGGTTGAGAATCTGCCTGCCAACGCGGGGGACACAGGTTCGAGCCCTGGTCTGGGAAGATCCCACATGCCGCGGAGCAACTGGGCCCGTGAGCCACAACTACTGAGCCTGCACGTCTGGAGCCTGTGCTCCGCAACAAGAGAGGCCGCGACAGTGAGAGGCCCGCGCACTGCGATGAAGAGCGGCCCCCGCTCGCCGCAACTAGAGAAGGCCCTCGCACAGAAACGGAGACCCAACACGGCTAAAATAAATTAATTAAAAAAAAAAAAAAGAACATCACTTTATCAGAACCTTTGCACGTGCTTCTTCTTTAAGGCGGGGAGGACGTTTCTGTTTTTGTTTTTGTTTTGGCCGAGCAGCCTGTGGGATCTTAGCTCCCCGACCAGGGATCAAACCTATGCCCCCTGCAGTGGAAGTGTGGAGTCCTAGCCACTGGACCGCCAGGGAAGTCCCAGGGAGGATTTTAAGTTGTGACCATCAGCCCCCAGTTCACAAACCAGGCTCCTTATGACCCAGCATTTCCACTGAAATCCAGTTCTCAGAAACTTGCTAAGGACTTCTTTGCAAAGCGTTCTCAAAGGCTGCTTGGCTTTTCATGCTCTTAATGAGCTACACAACTATTCAGACTATTTCAAGGCATCATAATTATTAGCTGCAAATTGTTCTGATGAAAAAGAGAAAAAATAATTACAATCTAAAGCCACCAATTACAGGACTAAAGACAATATTTTTCAAGTTTCCTAGAAACCAAATGATTTAAATGTCATGATCAGAGCTGCTTCAGAGTAAGTTTCAAATCACTTTTCATCTTGTATTTCTTCTTAATTAGCATTCATTGTTAAGGCACTTGTCTCCAAGGGAAGGTGGGAATTAAGATGGGTGAGTGGGGTCAGGGGTCATCGTGCCGTTGTGTGAAGGTGGAGTGGTGTGTCTTAGGTGATGTGACTTGAGGGGTACCCAGAGGAGGCCAAGCAGGGGGCAAGCACAGCCTGGCCGCCGTGCCCTCTTTGGAGAGCCACCTGTCTGGCTAAGGCACGGCATGTCAGCAGCCCTCTTTGCATCTGAACATCAGGGCAGAGGAAGGGTCCTAGCTTCTAGCACCATCTTGAGGGAATGTCATCTGCGGAATTATGATACGTTCAAGGTCCCTCCTGCTCTCCCCAAGGCTACGGTTCTTCCCAGGAAACGTCAGCCACAGTGCCCACTGCTACCACCGTGAGGACCCCTTAAGTGGGTCACTTGTGCTCCCAAATCAGACAGGAAAGCCATGGGGCGGGCGAGAAGGGCAGGAAGGTTCCTGAGCAGAGTCTGCAGGGAAAGAGCAGCGTGACAATGAGGGCTCTGGACAGAGAAGCCTGCTGTGACGTGGGGTCCCCAAGAGCTCAGAGGGATCAGGCACCAGCATGGGGGAGGAGCTGAGACGGGGAGCTCCCTGCAGAGCAGAGTTTCCACTGAGCTGCAGTGCTAAGCATGGCTCCCCCTTGACCTAGAGCTCCGAACCGGGGCCTTCCATGGCCAGGGCAGCCCAGCCCAACACACAGTCACTGCCTTCCCTCTATCTCACCGGACATGTCGGAGACGAGGATGGGGGTGGTCAGGAACAGGGGAGAAAAAAGTACTAAACAACAAGAAAGCAAACGAAGAGACCAGAACAAATGAGCAAGGGCACAAGCCCCTTGGATCCCTCTGGCCACACTGAGATTTTACCAAGGAGAATGTCAGCTGTGTGGACAGGAGGCCCAGCCAATGCGGAAGGGAGGCTGGAGGGGGAGGTGAGGAAAGGGAGGTGCAGTGAGGACAAACTCTTCACCTCAAAGTCATTAAAATTCTGCTCCTTATTACTCTTTACAACAGCAACTTACTGAAGCAGCAGTTAATAGAGGAGCAGAGCTCGCAAAGAGGCTACAAAACGCCCACCTCGTGTCCCATCCGCTGAGCTGCAGAAACGTGTTGCTTAACAGTTTGTAGGAGACCGTGGTCCCAACCCTGATGCCAGACTCCGCACCCCGCCATGCAGACTAAGGTCCTCCTCTGAAATGTCCTGAGGATGCAGCTGTGTAGTGAAGAAGGGGCTTTACCCGTAGAGAGGTCTGGCCTCTGCCCTCAGCCACTGGGGGTGAGCTCTAGGCCCCTGGAAGGCCCTGCCTGACAGCAGTGCCCATGTGCACAGGGGCTTTAGCCACAGGACTAACGCTGTGACTTGTTTCAGGGGCTCTGCAACAGGTCAGGTCAGTTCCGACCTCTGGATGAACTGGAGAAGAGAGGTCTTAGTCTGACCCCCAGGAGAAGCTGGAGACTGGGGGACAGCCACGTGAGCAGTGTGTCATCGAGCCCCAAACATCTCTGGATACCAAAGGCTCGGGCGAGCATCCCTGGTTGGAAATACTCGAGTCCTGTCATGTAATGTAGCCAGAAGAAGGCAGCGGCGTCCAGGACACCACGGGTGTGGGAGGGGGACCGAAAGCCCCTTGTCTGGAACCCGCCTCCCCCGGTCCCGACCTCACCCAGGCATCTCCCCCTTTGGCTCGTTCTGACCTGTACCCTTTTTGTTTAGAACTGTCATCACAAGTACAGTGCTTTCCTGAGTTCTGTGAGTCGTTCTAGAAAATTATCCAACCTGAGGGAGTCCTTTGGGTGCCTCAAGCTCGTACCAAGCTGCAGAAGCGTGGGTGGCCCTGGGAACCCTCAAATTCGTGGCTGGCGTCAGCAATCCTGGGCAGACGTCAAAGTCTTGCAGAAACCGTGCCCTTCCCCTCAGGTTCAGATTCGGCACTCATTGCAGCAGGGTACCCAGCGCCCTCTCCCTGGGGACGCCCAGAGCAGGCGGCAGCCGCGGTGCCCACGGGTGCGACCCCTCTCCCCACACAGCAGGAGTGCAGCACAGCCGGCCGGACCCAAGAGTCATGCATGTGTCTCCCCACAGGCAGGACCCCCTGAAGACTGAGTCCCGTCCCGATGGCTTTTTATGCCCCAGCATGTGACCCAGTGGGCACTCCATAAATCGTGGTGACTGCACCCCAACAAGCAGGGTGCAATCTGCCGTCAAGGAAGAAACATAAAATCAGCCCTGGAAGCTCTGGAAAACCTCTAACACGACAGTGACAAAACTAATCTTACATCTTGCTGCATCCATAATTCAGATCCTCAAGACCAATTAGTTAGCTAAAAATGAAACATGCATAAACGCACTTGGAATCATTTAAGCACCGAAAACGAGTTGCTGCTGTCAACTACCCCCACGGTACAGAAGAGCGGAGAAGGCAAAACGGGGCGAGGAAAATCCTGTCGCCTCTAAATCGACACATTTTAATGGCGTCTGAATGGAGGAAATTTCAATTCCTGTTCCTGTTCCCTGAATTCCTCTCCTCAGGCATCACTGAACTCTGTGGATTTTGTCCCGAAGACACCTGCCCGTACACCCCGTCTCCGCTCACCTAGACCCCTGCACGGCATCTCGGAGTCCAGCTTTCTGCTCTGGTCTCTCTCAGCCTCCACCCCCTGTCTCACTGCCACTCTCTTGCTCTAGAACTTTCCATCGTTCTTGAGGACTTTGCCCCACGACTCTGAGACCTGGCTTTCCAGGCCTTTTATCGCACAGTTCACCCTACACATGTGCGCACGCGTGCACAAACACACAGAAACACACACGCGCGCATGTGTGCTCGCTCGCTCTCTCTACCACTCAGGGCAGTGTTCTAGGCCTCCCTAAATATGCAGAGGGAACACCTGCCTCTTCTTTGCTTCCCTGTGCTGTGCGCCCTCCTGCACCCCAATCAGAACCCTAACTCCAGGCCCAGTTCACATCTCAGTACCTCCTCTGTGAGGCAGCTCGGCCGACCCTGGCTGGCCCCGCAGTTGCGTGTAAGGCACACACGTGTGCAAGCTCACCCACACCATTTACTGACTGTGTTGCTCTCCCCCCACCTTCCATCATACACCCTGAGGTCCCACAGGATCTCGGGCAGAGCTGGAGACGTAGCAGATACTTAATACAGAAATACACGTTGATCAGCCGCTTAACAGGAAAAGATGCATTTCGAAAACAAGGCATTTCCTAGGTCCCAAGCTTCCAACAGGAAGAAAGGGGCAAGCCACGGTGCATCTCGACCCCATCCCAAATCCACTACTGGGGACAACCTCCTCACAGGCAGAAAATTATCCTTGTAGAGCCAAGACCTGACCCAGCAAAGGACGGAAAGAATCAGCCCAAAAGATGACATGAGCATCATGAAAGAAACCTCAACATTATCAAAAATCTAATAACATAAGCCCTTTATGTGTACACCACTCAAGTTCGTGAGGCACTTTCCCAGCTATTATCACATTTTATCCTCATAAAAACCTTCAGAGATGGATGCAGCAAATCTAACTCCTCAATAGGAAGAGAAATGAAGGACCGACCCAAAGGTTGAAGGGACTTGGCACATTTTCCAGGACCTTCCACTGAGCTGGCAGACCCAGGATCTGGGTTCCTTCTTCACCGCCCAGATCTTTCTGCTGAGTCTTGTGGCCCTCGGGTCAGTTCTGGACATGGTAGTGGAGCAAGAGGTGCACTGCAGAGAACAGCAGCTGGGAGTTAGGTGGGCCTAAGTTCAAATCCCCGCCAGCCTCAGTTTCTAACATGAAAAATAAACACAAAACTGCCTCTATTCTATACAGTCACCATTGATAAAAAGCAGTCCATTGAAATGCTGAGCACAGCACTTAGAAGGTGATCGACATATGGTGACTGCGCATTGTTATGGCTACA